TACTCATTGCTTTTGGTAAATTCTTATACTTGGGAAATAATGTGAGGATAGATGATTCTAGTCATTCAAATCTCTGCTTAAGCTGGGATATAACATAAATACTACGTGTGTAATTGACTTCCAAGTAATGCAATAAAACATTTGTAACACCATGCTCAATTCTTTAGAAACAAAACTATGAAATGTCTTTACTTTTTTTCCAATCACTGTTTTACCTTGGTCTTTTGATTCCCCCTTTTGTGTCCCTTGACTATCTCTACCAGTTTCTAAAGCTTTCTGATATCTGTTAGTTATTAAAATTTAGTCAATTGGGGGCCAGCCCTGTGGCGCACTGCTACAGTGCGCCGCTTGGGAGTGCGTGGTGCTCCCGCCGAGGGTTCGGATCCCACATACAGACCGGCCGCTCACTGGCTGAGCGAGGAACGGGAGCAACACCGAGGGTTGCGATCCCGTTGCCGGTCCCGGTCCGGTACGGGNAAAAAAAAAAAAAAAAAAAAAAAAAAATTTAGTCAATTGGATTTAAAATTTTCTAATCTCATTTAATTAAAAACTCAGCCAATGTCTAGCAGCTTCTAGACACTACTTCCTTCAGTGAATTGATGTCAGATTGTTTATTTTCTTACTGCTGAGTTTTAAGGGTTCTTCGTATATTTTAGATAATAGTCTATTATATGATTTGTCTTTTGCGAATATTTTCTCTCGGTCTGTGGCTTCTCTTACCATTCTCTTGATAATGACTTTTGCAGAGCAGATGTTTTTAATTTTAAGGAACTCTAGCTGTAATCAATGATTTTTTTTATGGGTCATGCCTTTGGTGTGGCATCTAAAAAGTCATTGCCATATCTATGGCCATCTAGGTTTTCTCCTACATTATATTTTAGGAGTTTATCTTTGTGCATTTTATATTTAGGGCTATCATCCATTTTGAGTTATTTTTTGTGAAGAGTGTAAGTTTTGTGCTTATTATTTTAGCACCTTTTGTTGAAAGACTATTTTTGCTCTGTGGTATTGCCTTTGCTCCTTTGCCAAAGATCAGTTGACTATATTTATGTGGGTCTATTTCTGAGACCTCTATTCTGTTCCACGGATCTATTGGCTTATATTTTTCTCCAATACTACACTGTCTTGATTACTGCAACTGTATAGTAAGTCGTGAAGTAGGACAGTATGAGTCCTTCAAATCTGTTATTCTCCTTCAATATTGTGTTGGCTCTTCTGAGTCTTTTGCCTCTCCATATGCACTTTGGAATCAGTTTATCAATATCTTTCAAATAACTTGATGTGATTTTGTTTGGGATTTTGTTGAATCTATAGATTAATTTGGGAAGAACAGACATCTTGACAATACTGAGTCATCCTATTTATGAACATGGAATATCTGTATTTATTTGTTTCTTCTTTGATAATTTGGTTGGAATGATAATTTTTAACAAAGCAATACACTGTGCATTCAATACAGAACAAAACAGGAATATTGGGGTAAAACTACCACACTTTAAAAAAATAAATAAGTAGGAAAAAACTTGTATAACAGTGTCAGATTTTGTTATAGGTCTAGCAGACACACACACACACACACACACACACACACACACACACACACGAGTTATGTATTATTTTAGCCAAAATAGTAAATATATGGCAACTGAGACGACCAATGAATAATCATGGACGTGTCAGTTTGATCACATCCTGGAATGTGGAGTCACTTCTTGTTATCAAATTTAGTTGCTTCACTTTCTGTTCATTTTGAAGAATTTTATTCTTGGATGATAATAACATTGAAGAAGATTTCCCACTAGAGAACAGCATAATTAAATAATCATTAGAACAACAACAAAAAACTTTAGAGCCAAAACTGTGTATTGTATTTATGCACACAGGACTCAACTTAGTTTTCAATAATACTGTAATTAATTGATTTTAATTAGGTATAAGAAATCAGGACATCTAGAACTATAAACTATGGCTGGAAGTAGATTTGTAATTACTATAATACAGTAAACTCTCTTGCAGAAAAAACAATTTTTGAGGGCAGATGAGTGTCTCAAAATAATTTAAAATACACTAATTGTTATCAAACTTTATCAATATTACTAAACTTAATAACAAATAACTATTATTGCATGACTACTCAGTGTCAAAACATGCATGAGGTGATTTTTAAAACTACTCAGTGTCAAAACATGCATAAGGTGATTTTTAGTAATGCTTGAAACATTTAATTACCACACCCTATAAGCATTACCAAAAAAGAAAATAATGGCTCTTCTGTTATTGAATCATATTAAACTACATTAATGTATTTTAAAAGATGAAATGTATTTTGAACAGAACTCCATAGAGAAAGCCTCAAAATGTCATTTGTGTTTATTATAAAAGGAGTGTTTTGTATTGGAAAACAGAGAAAGCAGTTATCCAAGTACTTCTAGCCAATGGAACTGCACAGAGAAAACCACAGCAGCAGTAAGACACAAACTGGAAGGAGACCAAAAATATGATTCAGTATATGAGGCCTCACAATCAGCTTAGCGTAAGCACAGCCATGTTAACTGCCTCCTCACCCTGTCCCCTACCCACTCCCTTTCTCTTAAGCAAGTGCTTTCTGAGAAAAAATGGATTTTGTGTAAAACAGAATTTTATGCAGTACAGGAAAACCAAGAGCCATTACAAAATGCTGAATACTCGAAATAGCTACCAAAGCCCTTCTAAAAACTTGTGCTCTCCACCCAAACCCCTTGCCCTAATTTAAACCCTATAAAAGCTCTACTAGTCTGCACAGGGTTTGGAACTGATATTTCAGTTTTCCCTCCAGGTTTGCTGGAGTAAACTCCGTTGCTTGATAAATATCTGTCTTGGATCTTTTATTCTGTTTGTCTCGCCGACCTAACATAGTATGTAAAAAGATGTATACATATACATATATATATATATATATATATATATACACACACACACACACACATATATACATATATATATGAAATATATATATTTATTTATTTTTAAGACAATTGGGGAATTTAATTCTAAAATCAAATCAAATGGTGTTATACTACCTTGTATAGGTCATCAAAATATTTATATTGGTGGTTTCTCTGATGAAAAAATATTTAAAAATCTAATTGCATATTTCATTTTTCACTCATAGTACTAAGTGGATACACAGAAAGAAATAGTGAAATTAACTAATTATATTAAGTTTAAAGAATTGGCCATGAGAAATGTTTTCCTTGTAATTTGAGAAATAATCACATTTAAATACATTTTATGTGTATATATTCTTGGGACTTGCAACTACAGTCTTCTGTACACTGATTAATTTAAAAAGGTTAATATTGTATCTGTGAAGGCTATTCTAAGAAAGATAATAGTTTCAGACATCTAAAAAAATAAATCAGTGGTTCAAGAAAAAGTTGAGCTATGATTCGAAGAAATTGATGTGATTTGAGTTATCTATTTTTCCCTATAAAAAGTTTGTGTGATACACAGCTTTAGGTCTGACTTTGGCAATTAACCTTCCACTGCCCAAACAGAGTCAGAAAATGAAAGAGAAAAATAATTATAGAGATATAAATCCTCATCCCATACTCACACCAAATCTTTATGATATATACCTATACTTCACCCTCTTTTTATATCACAAACACAAGTATAGAAAACACTTCTGTAGAGTAAAATTGTATTTTTACTGACAATGTTGCCTCCTGTATCCCTCCAACTTTCCTTACCATTTCAAGGTCCAATGGCAAATGCTTTCCAGTTACCCGATGTCCGAATCACTGTATCTGAGGGCATTTCCATAAGTCAGCTACAGTCAGTAGCAGAACAGTAGTGTCAAGGTTAACTGTCCCTGAGATTAAACTTTGAGCAATGCTTCATGAGAACAGGTATATATATTCTCTAACTAGACCTAGAGGACAATAAGTTTTAGGATTGTGTTTTATACGATTTCTGCCCACAAGATTAAATTTTAGTAGCCATTTATGGTACCATTTACTGTCTGTCTTCCCTTGCCTGTATCTTTTTCTCATTTCTAAGCTCCTTTCAAATAAATTAACTGCACTTGTATTAGGGTTTGATTCTTGGGTATTAACATTAAGATCAAATCAATGGCCAACTTTCATGTTTACAAAATGTCACTGAACATTTGCATTATTTTGTCATCTCATTTTTCTAAAGTTGCCAGAAGAAAACATCATTAGTTTAAAAATTATTTATTTTAGTTTCTTATGGAAGTCTTGTTATTTATTATTCAGGATGTCAAAAATAATATACAAAAATAGGTAGAATACATGGACAGTGCCAAAACAAAATTATATTCAAATCAATACATTTAAACAGGGTTCACAATAGATGTGAGAAGAGTGAATGTCACATAGGGAAATGTTTCTCTAAAACTTCATTTATATGAATTATAACAACACAAAAAAAGATGGGCAAGAGCAAAAGAAGAATTCAGTTTTGGATAAAGAATCAAGGTTCCTCACTGGATTTAGAAATTAAATATGTAAAGTTGTATCATAGTGCACATCACTATTTATTAATAGTTGATTATTGAAGACTATTGAGGTGTGTAGAGAGCAGAATAATTAGGGGAGCACACTCCACTTAAGAACTTAAATTTTAATAGCCTACATTTGATACTAAAAAAATATTACTTCCTATTGATTTTGTTTTTTCCTCAGGAAGAATATTTCATTTTTCTCAGTAAAATGTGAAACATACAGACCTTAATTCTACTATCACTGGAGAAGGAAAAACTAGTGGCCATGACACAGGAAATGCTCAGTAAAATTTATTGTGCGAATAAATAATTAAATAATTGAATAATCCTAATAATTCCCCTTTTCTTACATGCGTTGAAAAATGGAGAACTAATCCAAGTGTTTTCTGGTTGCTAGACTGTAAATGCTTTAGTGAAAATACATATTAGCGGAGAGATCATAGTCTTGAATAACCTCTTCTTACAGTGGTAAGTTGCAGTGACTATGGCTAGCTTAAGCAATTTGACTAACAGCGTTCTTTTGTGTTACCCTCTGAAAGGCTTCCTTCACTTCCTTGTTCCTCAAGGTATAGATAACAGGATTCAGAGCAGGTGTGACCACTGTGTACATGAGTGCCGTTGCTTTGTCTGTTTCTGGAGTGTGTACAGTCTTAGGTTGGAGATAAGTAAACAAGGCAGTGCCATAGAACAGAGAAACAACCAGGATATGAGAAGAGCAAGTGGAGAAAGCTTTCTGCTTGCCGGCTGCTGAAGGGATTCTCAGGATGGTCACTAGAATGTGCATATAGGAGCACAGAATGAGGAGACAGGGACCCATAATGAAGAGCATGGAGACAGCAAACAACACAACCTCATTGCGGGAGGTATCAACACAAGCCAGTTTCACTACAGGGATAATATCACAAAAAAAAAATGCTGAATTTTCCCTGTTCCACAGAAAGGCAGAGTGAAGATCCAGGTGGTCTGGGCTGACTCCACTACCATCCCGGTGATCCAAGATGCTGCAGCCAATTTCAAACACACCCGAGGGCCCATCAGGAGAGTATAATGCAGTGGGTAACAAATAGCTACAAAGCGGTCATAAGCCATGGCTGCTAACAGGCAGCACTCTGTCAGTCCCAAGATGGTAAATATGTACATCTGGGCTGCACAGCCTCCCACGCTTATGGTCTTGATCTCCAACAGCAGGTGCACCATCCTCTGGGGCACCACACTGCTGATATAGCACGTCTCCAAGAAGGAGAGGTTTGCCAGGAAGAAATACATGGGAGTGTGCAGGGAAGGGGTGACCCAGATCAGACAGACGATGATAAGGTTTCCTCCTACAGTAAATAGGTAGATGATTAGGAACACAATGAAGAGTACAAGTTGTAACTCTGCCAGAGAGGAAAAAGCTATAAATGTGAATTTGGTGCAGAGGGACTGGTTTCCACTCACTATGGGCTCAGAACCAGAGATCTGTGAAGACAACAAAGAAGACATAATACATAGGAATCCAGTCTTCTAACACAGCTCTCTATCCACAGCAAAGGAGTTCTCATAGAATCAGTAGTCTGAGATGAGAACCTGGACACCTGGATTTCTTCTAAGTCTTTCTAAATAATTACCCAACTAAAATGGATGCATTTTCCTTCCTGATTTTGATTGTGGATTTTGTGCTATTTCCACAGGAATTTAGAAAAAAAAAACAATGTCTTTAAGCTGTATCTTCTGGTTTTTTGTTTTTATCTTATCAATATTCTAATTATACACATAAACTGTTAGGTAATTGCAGGGGCGTACCACAAAGATCCTCTGACTTGACATGATGCTTGCAAATTCTCATCGTGGGAGGAGGTGCCACCGTTCCGCCCTCATTTTTTGGAGTTCCGTGTGCATGCTTTTTCTTATTATATTTTATTTCTTACTGCCTCATAATTATCGCTCTGGGGAGATTGGGAGTGGGATTGAGAATCATACCATATTAATGAGACTCCTGAGAGTTATGGTCATGGGTTCTCAGGAGATGGTTTGTGGCAGCTAAGACCAGAAGGGGACAATGAACCTATATAAACATTTACCTTGTCTGCTTCCTGGAAGGATTGTTTTTAGTGCAATTAGTGAACATAATGGAAATGTTATTGAAAATTTACTCAAAAGTTGCTAGGCAACATGGTTAAAAAATAACTATTATTATGCCTAGTCTGCCTGTTTTTAAGAGTCAAACATGAATTTTTTTCCAGTAAAAATACCCTTAAAAAGAGTACAAATCATAAAATTCCCCTTAAGGAAGAAACCTCATAAAGGTCTTTTAGCAAATGTTTTTATTTCTCATAGGGTAGTGAATTTAGAATTATTACATATGGTGAATCAGTATTGGGATAAGAAAACTGGTTGATTATTTTACTTAATGTGATAGTTAATCCTGGAAATATAGATTCAGGTTAAGTTTTAAAATATCTTCATAAGGCCTAACACATTATAGGATGTAGTAGGTAAGAGAATCTTATTGTATATTACAATTGGATTATGTTTCAATAACATCATACAGAGTTCAATGTAATGTAGATTTAGCTAAACTAAATATAACAGTTGATGATTATCTGGGACCATTGGGTTGTAATGTCCTTGCTCAAAGGAAAAAACATTGTAGTCATCCTTCTTGGGAACATATTGTAATGTTATTTGTCTTGGGAACACATGTTACTCATAAGAAGATGTTATGATATTGTTCAATGATTATTTTGTCTTTAAGAAAAAGTATAAAAAGTGTGTGCATGCTTCAATAAAGTGTCAGCATTCAGCAGATCCGTTGAGTCTGTGTGTTTGTTGTCCATTTCATCGCCAACGCTGCCTTTCCTCTCTTTTGGGGGATTATCAGTGAAGACCCCATGAACTCTGTGCTAGGGCTGGACCCCAGCAGGTAATATATGAAGACACTCTAAATGTAAAGGTGTTGGGCTACGCCTGGGCCACCAGCCATTTTGGGAAAGTACCTCAGCCATTTTAAACTTGCTTCGGGATGATTCTGGGAAACCGAAACCTAAGCGGAGAACTCAAAACTTAAAAGAACTAACTTCCGGGGTACGGTGACTCTGCACTTTTTTCCCGCCTGCCCTGTCCTCACCCCTCCTCCCGGGTAGCAGTGTGTCAACTCCCTATTGGATAAGAGCTCCCCCGC